CTACAAACTTCCTTTTCTTGTTTAGTATATCTTTCATAAATTTCACATAACTTGACATTTGTTCGAAAGCCTCAATGAAAGGAATGTTTATTGTTAAATTTTTAAGGATTTCCAAAAATTTTGTAAATTGTTTGTCTTTATTCTTCTGCTTCAGCTGTTGAGGAAACAAAGGTAGTGGTTTTTTTAAGGAAACTTATATTTGTTCATTTTCATTATGGTCACTTTTAATTTCTTCATTCTCCTCATCAATTTCAATTTCTCTTTGGATTCTTACTTCAACTTCTTTTCCACTTCGTAATTGAATAACTTTAATTGGCTCCTTATTTTGATCTTTTGGATTAACTTCCACAGTACTTGGAAGATTTCCTGAAGGTCTGTTACTAAGTGCAATAGCAATATGTCCTAATTGCTTTTCAATATTTCTAATAGCAACCCCTTGATTTTGTATTTGATTTCCCATATTCAACATTACTTCTCCCATCGTCAACTTCTTTTCCTTAACTTGTGAGAGGGTTATAGTTAAGTACAGAAGGATAATAAGGCTAATAATTAGGATTTCCTTTGTTGTTTAAATTTCCTGAGGGGTTCACCGAATTATTATAATTATTCCAACTAAAATTAGGGTGATTTGCCCATCCAGGGTTGTAATAGTTAGAATAGGGATTGTTATTTCAATTACTTATAGCATTTAAAGTTTCATAAGATGATTGAGTATCAATTATCTACCCTAGTGAATTTTCTTCTAATGCTAGTGGCATTTGAGAACATCTCATTCCAATTTGATCAATCTTTTTCGATATAGCATCAATTTGAGATGCTAAAATAGACATTGCATCTTAGTCATGAATACTAGCTACTATCTTAGGATTTACTTGTTCAGAGCTCAGAGGGCCATTGAAAATTGTTAGTAGCCATTTTTTCAATTAAAGAGCATGCTTCATCAAAATGTTTTGACATTAGTGATTCATCTGCAACAACATCTATAATAGATCTAAGTGATCCTACTAATCAATTGTAAAAGTTTGAATTATTAACCAATCTGGTATAGCATGGTGTGGACATTTTCTAAGGAGATCCTTAAATCTTTCCAGGCTTCATATATCGATTTTTCCTTCAAACTGACAAAAAGATGTAATATTGTTTCTAAACTTAACAGTTTTCGAGGGTGGAAAATATTTAGCCAAAATTTTTTTTGATAGTTCTCCCCAAGTTATGATAGATCCAGGTGCTAACGAATTTAACCAAGCTTTAGCTTTGTCTCTTAATGAAAAAGAAAAAAGTCTAAGCCTAACAGCATCATTAGACACTCCATCATATTTAAAAGTAACACATATTTCAAAAAAACTAGCAAGATGTGAGTTACGATCTTTAGTAAGTGTTTCTCTAAACTAATTATTTTGTACCATTTGGATAATATCAGGTTTAAGCTCAAATGAATTAGCAACAACATCAAGATTTTGAATAGTTAAGTGAAGTTCATTTGCAGTCGAATTACATAATCTTTTAAAGGTTTTTGTCGATTTTCATTTATTTGATTATCTAAGTTATTTATCATTTCGTTCAAATTTTTAATTTCTTTTTTTTAATGTTTCTAATAGTACGTTCTAATTCCGAATCGTATGACACTAAACCTTCAGATCCAATATTTCACATAAAAAAATATAATAAGTAAAGAAAAATTTCTTAAAAATACTCTTAACTATATACTTATATATTTTTTGATTTTTTTATTTTATATTTTTTTGATTTTTTTTATATTCTATCTCTAAATTTCTAAATTTACCAAATCTAATTAATTTACTGTTACCTTCCCCGACAACGACGCCAAAAACTTGATCCCGAAAAATATAGTTGTGTAAAATTTATAAAGCTGACTCCGCTTTACAACGGTGCCAAAATTTTGATGTTGTATTTTATGAATAATAACGTTAAACATTTAATGTTGAGATTCTACGCAAGTATACATATCGTTATCAAGTAATATAAGACTTTCTATTTAAGTGTCAAATATCGATCTCACGAGGAAGATTTAAATTTGAAGTGATAAATTAACTAGGAAATTCACAGAAATAAAACAAAATTATTATCACTAATTTTGAATGTTTGAGAAACTATCAAAACTAAATTATTAACTATTAGCAAAATTTAAATGCAAAGTTTTAAATAGTAACTACTTAACTATGTTTATGTGATGAAGTTTTCTAATATGAAAAAACATCTTTCCCACTATAATGAGTTTTTGGTGAAATGAAATAAAATAAATGGTTTAAATATGTATTGTGTCAAATAGGAGCAATTTTAATTCTCTACCCTGATTCAGTGCTATAGAAAATCATTGACTAATCTCAGGTCTAGTCCCTAAATACGTGGCTAGGCTAGGAGGATACTGGCTCCCACTTCAGAACTCCCACATCACTTCTGAAGACTAACTCTCGCTTTAGTTCTTAAACACTAAGATTGAATTGAGGATTTTAGTCTGTCACCCTAAAAATCTCCAATTCTACACCAAACAATGTATATTTCCCTATTTATTTGCACTTAATTCCATGAACGACATACTCCTTCATGGACTTAAATGTGATTCTCACTCTGTTGTAGAACTCATACTCCATTTCTCAGATCATATGTTTCATAACATATTTTAACAATTTAATTGGCCAGATCGAAAGTAAATTAAGAGCGGAGTTGAAAAACCATCACAATTTATTTTAAATTTTAACATTGACACATCCAAATTATCTCTTCATTTCACCATATCTCAGAGTAGGGAGAAAGATAAAGGAAACTACTTAGACTTCTTGAGAAAAATACAACAAAACACAAATTTCATATATATAAAAAAGTTCATATAACAATAATAAACAAACAACATTTATCTGAAACTTTTTCTCAAAGCAAACCCCTTGTAGTCTCTCTTAGGAAATGTCGGAAGAAGAAATCTCTCACTTGTCTTCTCTCCAACACTCTTAGAGAAGAATTCACATTTAAACTCATCAAACAAACTCAAAACTATAAAGAAAATAAATGACTAATGGTGTGGAATGGCATGGAAGGGTGCAAAGTGGCACGAAGGGGGCAAAGAGATGCGAAGAGAGACCAATAGAACGGAGGAGGAGAGTCTTTTCTAATCAATTTCGGTTCTAAATAGAGCCTAAGGTTGGTTTTCCAATAGGTCCATCCAAAAACTCTTCAAAAAGCATCCAAATTCGTCGAATCTTCTAGAAACAAGGTATGCACCGACACTGGCGCCGTCGGCACCCATGACCAGTTAATTAAATCTGCGCTCTTTGTCAAACGACGCCATCGACGACCAGTCTGACATTGTCGGCTCTGAACAATTTTTCAAAAACACCATTTTAACTCCAAATTTTATCCTTTTTTGCTTATTTTTTGCTCAAAGTCCTAAAAATCAATAACTTGCAATAAAAAATTAAAAATATCTTCCTTTAAAGTGCAATATCACCAAAAATGAGTATAAAATATGAGTCTAAAAATGCATATATTTTTGGTGTATCACCGACATCATATTTTTATGCAATATATATTGGAGAGTGGGAATGCAATATATTATGGAGAAGAATTTGGACATCAATTCAAAGTATAAAAGTGTTGGCATCACATTTTTATGCAATATATGATGGAGAGTGGGAGAGCTAGGCACCTTGCTTCATAGTCCAATATTTTCTTTAAGCTAGAGAGAGAGAGAGAGAGAGAGAGAGAGAGAGAGAGAGAGAGAGAGAGAGAGAGAGATTTTGAGGATTTTATTTGGCTAGAGAGATGAAGAAGAGCTGATAAGTTGTTTGCCTTAGAGGAGGAAGACAAATATGAAAAGGAGAAAAAATCTCGATCTTCTTCTCTCGAAATCATTAAGGTTGGCTAAAGTGCATTAACACTTCTTTTCAACATCCCTAGAATCTCATGGCAGAGAGAGGTGATTCGAAATATAACTTCATAATTGAGTACGTGAGTATCGTTTTCTCATTCTATTATCTATCTCTTTTAAGACTTTTAAGCTTGTTATAGAGCTCCAAACCTATGTCTGAAGGCTAGGAGAAGGCCCTTAAAATATGCAATTGTTCTTATATTCCCACTACATCACTTAAAATATTCTAAGAAAACCAGCTCCTGATAGTGCCAAGGAGCCATGCAATCAGGTGCTGCAACATTCTACAATTTGTTAACCTAGCCCCTTAAAACCCTAAAATGTGAAGCTATGACACCAACCCATTGTTTGGACAACATTTGTCTGACCAATTTTGTTTACTACATATCAAATTTAAGGTATGAGTTTGGGGAAGTAAATCCTCGAGCATTATATATTTATTTTTCTATTGGATTTGAAGATCCCAACTTGGTCACCATATCAAGGTCGATAACCAATATATTGTGACTTGGTATAATGGTTATAAACATCATTCCTCTATATACAAACCCAAGTGAGGTGCTTAGGATAGAGACGGTTTTCACCGTTATGTAGGTTATGCTTATAAAAAGAATATATATACATAGATATGACTTTGATATTTATATTCATTTTATTAAAAAATTGAAATAAAATGAAATATAATTTGTTATTTATTTATTTTTATGACAATTAGTGGCCACAGATAAGACAAGGAATATATATACATAGATATGACTTTGATATTTATATTCATTTTATTTAAAAATTGAATTAAAATAAAATATAATTTGTTATTTATTTATTTTTATGACAATTGCCATGGATAAGACATGACGTAACTGGTAGAGATTGTTGTTAATTTTTAACATGTTCAAAATGCCCAACTTAATTATTTGAAAAAATAACACAAATTATTTTTAAAAATAAAAATATGTAAAAAATATAATAAGTAAAATATTTTTTGAAGTAAAAAAAAAAGTTTACGGAACTTAACAAATATAGTTTATTAATAATCAAAATATATTAAAGAAAATTATCGCAAATAAATCTTTAGCAAACATGTAAATATAATTTATTAAAGAAAAAAATTGAATAAACAGTAATGCTCCGAAAATTTTCGTGGGAGGCACGCGGCGAAGATCTAAAGTTTTTCTTGAGGCGGGCATCTGGTCCGTAGAAGCGAGCTAGCTAGAGCGTGAGGAAGAAGTAGACGCTGCATTAAAGGGGGTCCGAGAAGCGGAAGAAGAGAAAGCGAGCTAGAGCTAGAGCGAGAGCGAGAGACATAGGAAACTGATAGGGTTGGAGGGTCGGAGCAGGCGGGAGAGCGATCGAGAGAGAAAGCGAGAGGAGTTCGTAGAAAAAGGAACTGGCTTCTCGTTTGGTTGAAGTCAAGGTAAACCCTAACCTCAGATTCTTCTTGTTCTAATCATGAAAGAGCTGCGTGTTGGGTGGATAGCCCTTAGCAGCTAAAGGATGGATTATGTTGAGTTATTATTGTGCAAGTATTTTGAATTTACATCAATTAGTAATTGACAATATCCCATATCATTAGCCCACATTTGTATCATATGTTCATTTTTAATAATGCCTGTGTGGCTTGTTTATGATCAAGTAATATTTGTCTAAATAATAACTGATTGGGAATAAACAAAGGCATCGTGCTTAGGTAAGGGGAAGTCCAATAGCGATGCAATGATAACTAATAGCTCCATAGTTGGGATTAACTTTTAATTGGAGTTTATTTTGCTTAAACAAATGCTTATTAGTGAAATTACTCTTGTCATATTTATTTTAGTAATTTTGTATGAATTTTTTATTAAATATAACTTTTTTTGTTATTGGTAGAACCTATTATAAGTGTGTATTTAACTTGAGACCGAGATCAAGATGCTAAAATTCGGTTTGTTGCTGTCTGGATTTGTGTAAAGTGTTTTAAAGATTAAAATAAAAAAAATTATTTTACTTAGATGAAGATATTCAACATAGGTGGGTGAGATAATTTGATAAATTTATCAACGAAAATTGTGAAAATACAATTAATTTTAGTTATCTTGATGTCGCAAATAATAACAAAGTTTTTTATTTCCACCACCGCATTAGTAAAACAAAAGTCGAGGAAGTTTTAACGAGAACGAAATATTGAAAAACAGTAGGACTCGATGATTTCCAATAGAACAACAAGAACAAGAACATCAACAACAAGCCTTTATCCCACTAAGTGGGGTCGACTACATGAATTCTTTTTCTCTATTTAGTCCAATTGAGTGTTATATTTTCATTTAATTCTAATAGATTAAGATCTTTTTTTCTACACTGCCCAAGTCTTTTTAGGTTTTCCTCTGTCTTTCTTAACATAAGTTGAATCTAAAATATCTACTCTCTCCACCAGATCATCAGATGATCAACTTTTAATGTGAGCAAACCATCTAGGACGACTCTCACTAATCTCGCCGGCAATTGGAGCTACACGAACCCTTTCATAGATTCGCTTCGCATTTTGTCTCTAAGTGTCAAGCCACTCATCCACCTACGCATTCTCATCTCAGCAACACTTATCTTTGTTTTATGCTTCTCATTTAAAGGCCAACGTTCTGTGCCATAGTGCATTGTAGGTTTCACCGCCATATTATAAAATTTTCCTTTAAGTCTAAGCCGTACTTTTTCCATCACACAATATACCTCATGCATTTCTCCACTTCTGCCAACCAACCCGAATTCTACTAATAACATCTCCATCTTTATCAGCATCAATTCGAACAATAGACCCGAAATATCTAAAACATTCACACCTTTTCATGATTTGATCATCCATAGTTACAACTCTGTCACTAGATATCTATATATCCGCTCTAGTATACATGTCTTTAATGACTTGAATATAAGTCATATCAACACCTTTCTTTTCTAGACCTCTCCAAAGAATTTCTCTTGCAAACTTATTGTAAGTTTTTTCTAAATCAATAAAAATGATATGCAAATCCTCCTTACTCTCTCGGTACTTCTCCATCAAATCTCTCAATAAATGTATAGAAATGTATAGATAAATGTATAGCTTCCATAGTAGCCTTGCCTGACATAAATCCAAATTGATTATGAGAAATTTTTATCACGTCTTAACCTATGTTCAATTACCCTCTCTCATAATTTTAAAGTATGCCACATTAACTTAATTCCTTTATAATTTGCACAGTTTTGTGCATCCCCTTTATTTTTAAAAAATGGGGACTAAAAGACTCTTCCTCTACTCCTCATACATCTTTTTAGTTTTTAAAATAAAATTAAAGAGTTTAGTAAGTTAAGTAACTCTCAAATTTTAGTTTGAAAATTTTTAGGAGTTGTAAAAATATTTAGGAGATATGAGAATTTTTTGGTTTACTAATTTTTTTGTATTATTTTAAAAACAAATAAGTGGTCAAATGAGTGAAGAAAGAGTATATTGATTCCTATTTTTAAGAATAAATGAGATACACAAGAGTGTGTAAATTATAGAGGAATTAAGTTAATGTGTTATACATTAAAAATTATAGGGGAGAATAATTGAGCATAAGTTATGACGTGATACAAATATTTCAAAAAATCAGTTTGGATTCATGTCGGAAGTTTATTATAGAAGCTATACATTTCTTAAGAGGTTTGATGGAATAGTATAGAAAGACTACAAAGGATTTACATAGGATTTATGATAAAGTCTTAAGAGAAGTACTTTGGAAAGTTTTAGAAAAGAAAGGTGTTGATATTGCTTATATTGAAGTCATTAATGATATATATGTTAGAGCTATTACTTGTGTATGAACAAAAGGACGATTGATCAATTATTTTTCTATTTTAATTTGGATTACATCAAGGATGGGTTTTAAGCCCACATATTTTTTTTTAGTTACGGATGTTCTTACTGGACATTTATAGGAGGATGTACTTTGGTGTATGCTTTTTACTAATGATATCTTTCTTGTGGATAAAACTAGAGAGAGTTTAGGAAAAACTTGAATTTTGGAGGTCAACTTTAGAGTCTAAAGACTTTCTTTTGAGTTGATCTAAAACTAAATTCATGGAATATATTTTTAGCAATAGTAGATCTAGTAACAATGGTGATCAAGCCATTAAAAAGAGTGAACGTTTTAAATATTTTGGTTCTATTGTTCGAAGTGATGGTGATATAGATCGGGTTGATATTAGTAGAACTCAAGTTGGATGGTTGAAGTGGAGGAATGCATTGGGTCTATTGTGTGATAGAAAAGTATCAGTTTGACTTAAACGAAAATTTTTTAAGATGTTGGTGAGATTTGCAACACTTTGTGGTGCAGAATGATATAGCCTATAAAAGAGAAACATAAAATTAATTGTTACTGAGATGAGAATGCTCGGGTGGATGAGTGGTTATACATATAGAGATAAAATGCGAAATGAATATATCCATGAAAGGGTTAGTGCAGCTCCAATGACAGACAGGATTGTGTGATAGAAAAGTATCACTTTGACTTAAACGAAAATTTTTTAAGATGTTGGTGAGATCTACAATACTTTGTGGTGCAGAATGATAGCCCATAAAAGAGAAACATAAAATTAATTGTTACTGAGATGAGAATGCTTGGGTGGATGAGTGGTTATACATATAGAGACAAAATGCGAAATGAATATATCCATGAAAGGGTTAGTGTAGCTCCAATGACAGACAAGATTATAGTGAGTCTCCTTAGATTGTTCGGTCACATTAAATGTCGATCATTTGATGACTCTGTTAGGAGAGTATAAATGTTTTAGATTTGACTAATGCTAAGATAAGTAGAGGTAGATCTAAAAAGACTTGGTCATGTTCTATAAAAGATGATCTTAATTTGTTTGAATTAAATGGAAATATGACACTCAACAGGACACAATGTTGAAAAAGGATTAATGTAGTCAACCCCACTTGGCGGGATAAAGCCTTGTTGTTGTTGCTATATGCATTTGTGTAATACTGTAAAGTGTATTAACAATTAGTATGGATTAAATGGTTAGCATGTACACTAAACATGAATTAGAATAACAAAATCTATTTAAGTTAAATATGAAGTTCTCTTTACTTAATTATATTCTCAGATATGAGTGTCCTGTATTATTTTAATGTTCCCAACTCAACTGGATATAAAATTAAACTATCATTCAACACTATAATAGATAGTTTATTATTATATTGCTCTCCTCTTAAAAGTTCTTTTTATTAATTATAATGATTTTATGCATGTTAATAATAGATGAAGAACACGAGTTAACAAATAAACCTTCATTTGATAAAGGATCTGATTACATTGAATATAAATGGATCTAAATCTCATAGTGAGTTTGCTAACCATATTGGATTAATTAAAAAGTTAATTTTGGGATGTTTAGATACTTATATAATTCATCTTTCCATGTTTAGAGACTTATATATCTATTATTCCAAAAACATGGATATGATGATATAAATAGGCATACTTTGGCTTTTTGATTATTTTTGGGATCCTCATATATATTATGTGATGATAGTTGATACATGAGTTACGAAAAAGGTAGATAAAAGAATACAATGTCATTGTGGTATTTATGAAATCCTCTCCAAGATAAAGTATTTTGATTAAGCGATCCACATTTGGTCGTATCTTCGTTAGTGATAATCAATAGAATAACCTATGATGGTTTGATTTAGAATGGAATTAACATTCTTATCATAGCATTATTATCACCATTTTTATTAAGTTTTATTATTGTATTTGGTATTTGTTAAGGTCTATGTTGCATGGATACAGAAGCAAGGACATGGACGCGATAAGACACGGACACATGACACTTCATTTATTAAAAGTATGGGGCATGGAGACGCGGCGGATGTGTTATTATAATAATATATATTTTAAAAAATATAAAAATTAGAAATAAAATATTAAAAATAAGGCAAAAAAGAAGAAATTAAATGATATTAACTTTCAAAAACTAAGATTTCCATAGATAATTATTTAGCTTATTACATATAAAAAGTAAGCATTAACTATTAAAGAGGCGAAGTGGCAAATATAACCGATATATATATCTGTATAGGTTTAACCTTTAAATAAAAATATATATCAAATATGTTTATTGTTTAAAAAAGATTTAAAAAAAAAAGACATGAGTGTCCAACATGCGTGTCTTTTTTTAATACTATTTTAATCAGGCAAGTCAAGGCCGTATTAGACACTTCTCCGGGGCGTGTTGGGCAAGTGTCGGTGTTTGAGGTGTGTCCAACACTGCACGATTCCTTAATCAGGATTATATTTGCATCATAGGTTAATGTGTGATTTTTTTTTTTCCTACTATGAAAATGCATCATGCAGACAAAGTTAAGGCCTACCTTCATTTTGAAATAATAGCAAGGGTTGTAATGGGGCAATGAGCCTCCTTTTTGGGGATTTGGGGGCTTTGCCTTCGAATGACTTTCAATATCAACAGTTTTTTATTGAAGTTGTTTTAAAAGTTTTCTTTATTTTTTACTTCCCTAGATTTTTTATTTATATAAATTGGGGGACCTTTTCTTATGTATATCGGAGAAACTAAGGTTATAATTCTCCATAATCTTTTACTCGGACACAGCAGGAGGTTCAAGTTTCTTAGGACTAACTTTTGCTCATTTATTTGCATTGGCAAATAAATTACAAAAACAGTATGTGCCACGATGAAGTAAGCAAGCTAAAATGTTACAATTATCTTCTTACATTTGAAAAGGCATGGAAGTGCTAATTTTAAAATGGGGTTTATATATAAATCGTATTTGTTCCAGGTGATATTAGATAACATTGCCAAATCACAATATCAATCTACTCCTTGTAGCATATAATACAGTCAAGGTATTGTAGTTTATTAGCAACGTGGAAAATGAGAATGCAATTATTGTTCTAATTGGTGATAATATCTCCATTGAAAAACATGATCTCATCAAGCACAATGTAGATATTATAGATGCTCATGGGAAGGGCCATGTAAGCCATGTGGAGGAGACATTGGGAGTGCCTTTTGTTGAAAGAGGTGCTTTAAGCAATTATAAACAAAAACATGCTTAAGTGAAAGTCCTTTGGATTATCCAGCTGTGCTAAAAAAAGTTTATGATCCCAAAAATCTACATTCTTGTCATTATATGTCGGTAAAAGGTGTTTTAAGGGATAGTCTTAAAATGAGATTTCTAAATTATCTGATTTGTTGGTATCAAATAATCACTGTCAATATTTGCTGCTTTCTTTCTATTTTGTTGTTGATTTTTTTGAGTTTATTAGTGTTAAAGTCGCAGTGGAATCACAAGATTAATCTACTCTTCTAGTAGCATATAATTCAATTAAGAAATTTGTGATGTAAACCCATCTTGCTTCATCCTCTTAACTAACGAGACCAATTCATAGCAAAACAGTTGGTTCTAGTTTCACTTCTTTTCACACTATATTAGCACCTTCATGGTGCTTTAAAATAAAACTAGTTAAGTTGCTTGTTAGCTTTTCAATCTTTTTCTTTCTATCCCTCTCCAATATATACTTAAAGCTTGAATGGCTTTGTAACCAAGGTAATCTCTTGAGTTTCACAATGTTGGTTATGTAATATTGCTATTTGTTGGGAACCATTGATATTGTGGGTTAATCAGACTTTCGTGCATTACTTTCAAAACATTTGGATAATTTGAATGCTTATGATTTGTAACTTATTGCTTACTGTATATTCTTCAACCTAGAGGTAATGAAATAAGCAGAACTTCCTATAATAGTCACCTTGGAAGATGTGAATGCCTAACCTAAGGTTTCTTCAAGGTAGAGGTTGATGCTTGCGTACATGTTTTTATTCGCTGTTTGAGGCTTTATCATCGACTTTCTTGATTTTAAATTGTTTACTTGGCTGCTGATATCATTAGACTGTGGTACCGAGCATCGTGGATATGGGTGGAACTGATTTTGAAGCTGTGACAAAGTGTATTCATGATTTGAATGGATTACATCTTGCTCAACAAAATGAAAGCCAGGTTGAGCTTCGCAGAACAAACACTTGAACTTCATGAAATCTTGTATTTGAATGTCAAATTATTTTATTTTTTTTGTGTTTACTACTCTTTCCATGAGATTGTGACCATGTGATCTTAATGAGATATTACTACATGTTTCTCTTCCAAGACAAGTATTTTTAGTGAAGCTGTTCCTCTTATGCTGATTATTCTTATTTAAAAATTTTTGGAATACCCTACAATAATAGTGTTGTAGCATTCTTTCTTTGCTTGTCTAGTTAATGTTTAAGAATTGGCATTTTTGTAAGGACTTTTTATCATTACTATCATTTGTAAGTTAACAGATTCATTTGCTTAATGCTTGCCATTTAACAAGTGCTTAGTGAAAAACCTGATAAATTACCATATAATGATGTTTTGTTGTTTATTTAATAACTTATACTATGTTATTGCATCTGATTCTTCCATCTCATACACTTTAAAAGTGATAAATCAATTGACTATAAGTATACAAATGGCTAAGCTACTATCTTTTTTTGGTGATATTGGATATCAAATAGATGGTAGAACGATTGCAAATGAATTATTTAAATTTTGATGGCCATCTTTGTTCACATTTATGTTCTGTCTGTTTAAATCGTTAGAAACTCAAATTTAAATTGTTTTAACTTGATTAAAGCTTGTTACGGTGCAAAATTGAAAATAAATTTAATAAATAAGCTTGAATTCAAATCCTAGATCTCTTTCCCGTTTTAGTATAGTAGATAAGAAAATATATGAACGAGCTTGAATAAAGCAACACTTAGCTTGACTTGCTCATTTACAGCCCTTGGTCATTTGCTCATTTGATTAGCATGGCAAACTGTAAATTAATTACTTAAGGTGAACTTCAATGCCAATTTATTGGCACTGTTTTATGTGCCTATACATTGTCAGCATGCCTTGGTGTTTTTGAAGACTATATTAGGATATTTATTTCAGGAATTAATTACTTGGGATGAGCACCATAATTAATATTGATTTCATATTGGACTGCCGAAGCTTTTAATTTCTATTCCTGCGTGTATTAAGCCACCCAATCCTATAAATGGCTATTGAGCTGTCTAGTTGTCCTTTAAGTACTCAAATATAACTCTAGTTGAGTTACCTCTATTTCCTAATCAAATTCTTTCATTACGTGATTTCTGTGTCTTGTATGTAAATTCTGCAGGATTATGCGAATATTGATTTGTCAATGGAAGAAAGTAATGATAAGAAGCCTTCATGTTACTCTGATAAGAACAAGAAATCCAACTTTCTTCTGCAAGATGATGAAGAAGTGCTAGTCGATTCAACAGTTGATGAAGTGCGAGGTTGCTTATTTATCTTCACACTTATAATGAACTTTTTTAATGCTTAATTATACTAGCATGCTATTCCATGGCATGCTAAACCTTGTCACATGTGACATGCCTTTTTTTTTTTACTGTGTTCTACAAATTAATCGAGTCTAAAGCACAGTTACTGTGGACGACAATATGCCATCACTTTTGAGTATTGCGATGTATCTGATAGTTCCTGCAAAAATGAAATATAGTTTTGGTTTGAGGTATATTTCTTATTTGATACTCATGCAGAGGATTAAGCTAGTGTGGTTATGCTTGACTAAAAAAATATGCATGCAATCCGGTATAATGAATCTTGCTTTAGTGCAACTTGGTCACATATACACACAACACAAACTTTGCTCTGATGCAAACAAAATTTACAAACCCTTTTTATCTTTCCTTCATTGGTTCAAATTCACATGAAGTCCCTTCCCGAATCATGCCAACAGGGCAAAAGGATAAGCCATAAGCCAGCTCACTTTAGTCAAATGTATATTTAAATTTCCATATTAATTTCCTTGTTATTTGAGGTTGCATAGCATTAAAAAAATAGGTGAATTTTTACCAGGTTTTCCATGTATTTGCATGGATTGATTCATAAAGGAAGTTCAACTATATTTCTTGATAATGTTGTATAATAGTTGGATGTATACCTTAAAAGTACGATGAAATGGATCAAAAGAGGTAATTATCATAAGATAAGATGGTAGATTTGTATATTTGAATTTATTTATCTTCAAGAGTTAATTGTTAGAGTAGGCAAATTGAAATTTTAAGTGAACCAAATTTTACCAAATTTTATGTTAAGGTGAAATTATTATGTGAAGGTGATTGTTTTGTTAAGAAGATTGTGATAAAATTTTTAGGGAGTCTAAAAATATACCATGCATGATTAAATAGACATGGTTGCGGACTAAGTACTAAACTCATCATGTATTATAAATGTTTTGTTAATTGTAAAACAAAATATTATTGGAATTTACATTATATTATGAATTCTAGGAAGCTAGCCCAAAAAAGGTGGCAAGCAATGTTTCTGGCTTTGTGTTACCAACTCTTGATGATTTGAATAGTACACTTACAACCACAGAAGGAGAAAAAGAAGATGCATATGATAACTAAGTCAAGAGAGTGGAAATCTAAACTGATACTGGCTTGTATGTGGGTTTTGATAAACAAAAAAAAAACAATAAGAAGAACAACATGAATTTTATTGGTAGAATACCGTCTGAGAGCTAGCTCATGATACATCAACAAGGAATGCGGTATGAGTACTGTCCTTATTGGTAGAATATCGTCTGAGAGCTAGTTCATGATACATCAACAAGGAATGCAGTACGAGTACTGAACACCCTTTAGGAAAGGAAAGAAAACTCTCCAAAAATTGCCTAGCGAAAACAACCTACAAATTTTATATATTAAAGCTAAGGCCTTTCTAATTACAAGTTGGCCATTCAAATAGAAAACACATAAAACCAAATAAAACCAAATAACTAAAAATAAAAAAAAGGAACTTTAACATAATACAGACAACAATATTACTGATGCTTCCGCATCATTCTCCTGGGGTTGGAGCCTATAGATCTTTTTTATTTAAGCTAAGTCATTTCCTATTATAAGTTTGCCACACATAAAATCAGAGAACTAAAAATATAAAATGAATTTTAACATAATGTGGACAACAATAGTACTAACGCTTCCACATAGATTTTCAAAATAATGGTATCGTTCTAATCTCCAGGTAGGTCAGGATCAGTGATCCAAGCATCTGTTCTAGCTAATTCAAGATAGGTGATATCTGAAGAAATCTGAGTTTGGAGTTTATTTAGTTGTAAACATTGTTCCTTTAATGATTTAAACTTTTTGCAGGCCTCAATTTCACTTAGGCAAGAGCCTTTAGCAATAATACAATTATCAGATTGACATAAGAACATGAATAAATTTTACAAGCAACAAAAGCTCTTCGGAATTGTTGGTTGCATTCACGAGATGTAAAGGTTCCAAGGAGCTAGTAATAGATTTCGTGCAAAATTCAAACTCTTGTACTTCACTGCATGAATCTTTGTTTCCTTGAGAACTCAGTCCTGATGAATATGAACTAAATTCTAGCATATGTTCTAAGGAAAATTTTTCAGTCATGATGCAAAATCAGTGATAGAAACTTTGGTTTTTTCATTTAAGCCTTGATCATATCCAGCATTTTTCATTGCCGAAATAAGGTTTTCATATAGCTTATGAAAGGAATTTCCTATTTCCCCATCTAGGAGTGCTGGATCTTCAAGTTTTCATGTTGATTGGTACGGACCGGAAAAACACTACTAATATTTGATCATTATATTCATCCAAATATTATTCCATACTTATATGCTCTTCAAGATAATGTAACACTTGATTGAACTCTGGCTGTGGCAATGGGTCAAAGATAATGAACATAGTTCGTCAGATTGTGTCGACATTTTTTTCAAAGTCGATGGAAATTGCTTCGCCAGAAATATAGGACCACATGAGATTTGATAAGAATCATATACTTCACTAGTGACTAAAGGAACCCTTCTAATTTGAATGTTGTTCTCATTGAACTCCACTAGATCGTGTTGCCAAGCGTCGACTTGAGAACTTTTCACTTTGGGAACTCCAACTCATTTCTTCTTATTATACATGGGCTAATCGTATACAAGTGTCCATGATGATTCTGACATCAAACTTTCAAACACATCGAAATTTGAGGATTCTTGATGAAATGGGTTTTCATTTTCTTCCTCTAAGAGTTTTATTTTCCTGATCCACCCGAAGTTCTTCCAATTTTTGATGTTCAATAATAGCTATTCTTTCTTTAAGACACCAGATTTCTCATTGTAAACCTCCCATACGAGTTTTTGATTGGGACGAGCAATAGTTCTTCGTGTAGTCATCTTTGGTCAGCCACTAGGATGCCAGACAAAGAAGAACGACGTGGGCCTGGGCTGGAGATGAAGGTTTTAAGCATAAAAACTAGATAGGAAACACAAAAATTGAAAAAAAAAGGAAAGCGAAAACAAAAAAACAACAAAGAAGAACCCATATTCTGTTCTTGCACTATGTTAGCAAGATATGATTTAAGGGTTTATATAGGAAAGAAGAGAAACCAGTCCAAAAAATTGAGTCTCGGTTTACAGCTCGAAAAATGGAGCAACAACACAACATAAGACAAAACAAGAAGAAAACATAGGAAAGAACATAAAGAAATGCACGAGAGCTTATCTTGGTTGAAAGGGGTGCACCACCATTAGCCCTGATACCAAAATGATGCCAGCGGGTATGTGGATTTGGATGAACAGAAAACTAGCACGTAGAACAACAATAACTTTATTGACAAAGCACCGCCTGAGAGCCATCTCAGGATGTAGTAGCGAGGAATGAGGTATGAGTACCGAGTTACCCTTCAGAAGAAGCACGAAAACTCTCCAATAACCGCCTACCTGAAACAACCAAAATGTCTTTTATATTAGAGCTAAGACCTTTCATAATTACAAGTTTGTCATACAAATAGAAAAAAAAAACATATAAAAAGATAGAACTAAAACATAAAAATTGAACCTTAACATAATGTGGACAATAGTACGACAGACCTTCCCTCGTAATAAAGACTTTGTTAATATTAATTTTTTTTAACAATGATGATAATATGATATTTTAAACATAGAAAATGAAATATAGATGACTTTTTCTTTCAATTAATTAGTAAATTGGAGTCTTAAGATAAATATTTATACAAGAAAAAAAAATAAAGACAAAATGTTATTGATTTATCTGAAAAAATTGAAACTGAATTAACATTGAAAAACATGCAGAAATGTGAAGCATTGGCGTAGATTAGATACCTATTTAAATTTGGAAATTTTGGAGAAAAAGGAGCCAAAGGAGTGCTCCAACAGCTGGCTGGCCATAGGATTAGCAGTTTAGGAAGCCCAAATTAAGTTCAACACAAGTTTAGGGCTTGAACAAAATGTCCATTTGGCTTTTAGAGCTTATAATGACACATTATAACAACATGGATGCTACAAATCTATGCCCCAATGAGCTTAATTATAAAGTTCCAAATGAAATCAATGATGGCAAGGTCCACAAAGTTTGGTGAGAACCAAATTTGAACGAGTAATAATTTCTTGAAATGCTGACGATGTCATGATAAGCAAGATCCATGATAGCAGTTTTTAATGGTCAAAAGTTGATCCTATGATTTTAGGGCTTCTTAGATATAGCATTACTCTTTAGTAAGTTATTATATAAATGTTTATTTGATTGTCCACATGTGTTTAGATTAACCTCTATGGCTATAATATATCTGGCGTTTGGTACTGGACTTTTATTCATTCATTTAACGAATCAATTATTTAATTGCATGATAAATTTCTCTCACCCTCTCTCGCTCCCTTATCTATTTAGTGCTTTATATTGAAATTCCCGGCCTAGTTCTTGCTTTCTCCTAAACTCCATCTTCTCACCATCTTTCTTTAGAAGCACCTCTCTTTTTCTTAAAAAAATTTCTTACCCGAGCCAATCTAGTTTTCCAAGAAGTCAATCTAGCATTATGGTGACAATCGAGACAAATGGTGAAATCAAAGCAATCAAGCAAGAAAAGACCAAGCAAGAACAAGGAAGAGGTTATCTGATGAAGTTAGATTTGCTTGCACTAGTAGTACCATCTCTCCGTAAGTATCTTTTTATAGTAATTCATTTTAAATATACTATAGTCTTTGTTTGGCCAATTGTAAAACAATGAGAACTCCAAAGAGCAAGGTTCCCCTTGGGAAGAGTTCTATTAGTTTTACACAAGAATCTTTTTTCTCATTCTTCAGCCATTTTATTATGAATCATTACTACTATAAAGCCTTGATATTTCATTTGCCGATCTAAAAATCAACACAAAGCTGTAATTATAGGAACATCATATACCCACTTTACTTCTTGGATTTGAGAGAAGTGGTTACCAAATTTTTTGTCTTCATTTCAGATTATTTTCGCTCTCTAGTACTTATGACACCATCTGTTTCTTGACATTCTCATTCGCTTCTTTATTAGGCTCATTTGCTGCTAACAATCTGGTCTATCCTTGACTCAAAGTCATTCATTCTAATCCCAAGCTAAGCTAAAATTTTTTATAAGATTCATAATCACCTTTCTTTTTTTGTGTATAAATGATATAGAGAAAAAAGTATGAAACCGTACTTACTTGCTCAATTCATGATATTTTGATCAGGGTCTACAAAGAAGAAGAAGAGAAACAAATCAAAGTATGTGCCTTATAATTCTTTTAGCATAACTTTAAGTGGATTTCTTTATAATGGTTATCTCATTTTTTGCAGGAAAAAGAATGATCCACTTGAGCGGACTAATCTACCATTATTTCAATCCCTTCAGCAGAGTGATCCACCGTCAATACCTGTTGATGAATTATTTTCATCAGGGGAATTTCCTGTGGGTGAAATTCAGCAATACAAGGATGAGTAAGAACATTCTATAAAATTTAAATTTCTCAAATTAGTGCAAGTGGTAAATTTATACTCTAATTGCTACATGCCAAAAATTTATCATGAATGTAAAAGTTACAGATATGTAAGGACTTACATCCATTTGAAGATATTTGTAGAGCTTCAATTACAATTGAAAATCTTGGATATTATGAAAAATGATCATATTAACTAAATCATGTTTTTAATCACGACTTTATTTTGTATGAAACTTTGTTTTGCAGTTCTTGTTCTAGATATTTGAACTTATAATTTTGAGAATTTTTGGATCAGCAACTTGTGGAGGACAACTGCTGAAGAGAAAAGAGAGCTCGAGCGCTTAGAAAAATCTATGTACAATGCTGTTCGTCGAGCCGCTGAAGTTCATAGACAGGTTAGTTCTGGTGAATATTAAGTTAGCCCTTTTTGTAATCTAATGATTATGTCAAAAGGAGCATATTGTTTTTTATTTTGATAACTACATAGCATTTATCTCATCAATGATTAGGTTAGGAATTATATTCGGAGCATCCTAAAGCCAGGAATGTTAATGATTGAACTCTGTGAAACCTTGGAAAATATGGTTCGGAAACTGATTAAAGAGAGTGGACTTCAATCAGGAATTGCCTTTCCTACAGGGTGTTCTTTGAATTGGTACTACTTTAGCATTCTCTTTGTTATATTCTCCTTCCCGCCTTCTGTCCCTCTCAATTATTGTATTAATGTTTGTGCTTGTGTGGAAGCTGTGCTGAGATATATCACAAACCTGTGCAGTTTTATGTATGTTAGGTGGCAATGCTGAATCTTTACTTTGCTAGGGTTGCAGCTCATTGGACTCCTAATTCCGGTGATAAAACTGTACTTCAATATGATGATGTGATGAAGTTGGATTTTGGAACACACGTTGATGGTATTCTCTTCATTTGGTGATATTTTTCTTCTAAGATTGTTGGCTTCTTTATTCTTTTATTCCCAATTTTGTACAATATGTACAATATTTGAATAAATGACCAAAAAGGTTCTATTAGAGAAAATGACCAAAATGGTTCCTTGATTTTTTACAAGGGATAATTTGTCTTAGGCTATGGTAAAGATTTAATTTAGTCCCAAACTCTTTAAATAGGGAGTAAAATAGCTGCACCGCCTAAACTAACCCAAAAAAAAAAAAAATAAATCCATTTCCTTATGAAAAATAGCTAATTTCACATACAATAGGGTTAAATTGAGATTTGATTGGTGAGCGAGTTAAATTTTTTCCTAGTAAATAATATTATTTGATATTTTTTTTGTCTTGATTCCGTTGTATCAAAAGATTAAATTCCATGTATTTCGTTATATTGTAATCAAGGTAATAGAAATGCCTAACAAAAAAATTATTTCAACTCAATCCTTATGCTTAATCCACTCCTTTATACACAAGAAAATAATGTAATTAGGCTATTTGTGTTACCAAAAAATTAAAGAATAAAATATATATTTTAAAAATTTTCTCCTTTTTAACTGAGGCATTTTTTGTCTGAGAGGCAACTTGTAAGCCTCAAAATTTTTTTGAGGCGCAAGCCTTAAATTAAAAATTTATATAAATTAATGAATGTTGTTTAAACTATAAAGTGTGAAGTATAATTTATTCTATTGGTAACTCTTGACAATTATGATCAATAAATTAATGAATGTTGTTTAAACTATTGGTAACTCTTGACAGGATGCTGCGATTTTGATCCTAATACTTTATTCTTTATCAAAAGATGAGGTATTGTCTATTATTTTATTCCTCTGTGCGCTAATTAAAATATTTTGTATGCTTATTTATTCAAATTAATATTCTAGCATATTAACACTTCAAAAAAGTAATAGAATAATATTTTAACATAATTATAAGTAGCAAATTATTTTAAAAAAATTAACATGTTAATATTTTAATATCAAATCATAAAATAAGATATGTTATGTAAATGTAAACTATTAAAGCTAAGATATCAAGATACAATACTAAAATATTAAACTATAACAATCAAATAAATTCAATATGAGTCTTTCTCTCCTACTCTTGTTGCCCCCAGCTTAAGTAAGAATATAAAAATTATCAATATTTAACTTTTAAATGAAAATGTCTATATTACTCTCATCACCTAATTAATTTTCACTATAACTATCAAAATAATGACTTGCTTATGGCCACCTTATCTCAGTCATGTCTATATTATCTCATTGTTAATTATACTTAGTCTAAGCTATGTTTCTTTTTTCTAATAAATAATGATCAATAAAAATATAAATTAAAATAATAACTGTAACGATAGTTAGAATTTTAAGTACATAAATTTTTATGGATGCTTCTTCAGTTTATTTCTTACTATTTAGTGTTTGAGTTTTGAGGGTTGATAAGTGAGGTATATTGATATTATTTTAGCATTGTTAAAAAAATTGCGGCTAGCCCCAAATTTTTGAGACGCTTTCGAGGCGAGGCGAGCTTAGCTTGGGTGGCCCTGGGGCAAAAATGCACAAGCCTCATTGCGATTTTTTATAAAAGGTGCTAAGCTGGGCTCCAAGTGCGTCTTTTATTGCACAATTTTAAATAACGAATTTAGCTGATAGGACTCCTTTGGTATCTGTTAAATTGTTTAAGGACTAAATCAGCTTTTTTAAATAATATGGGACTAAAATGGCCCCTCATAAATAGTTGGGAGATCATTTTGGTCTTTTCTATATAATATTTATTATTTATGTTGCTATTTTATAATTTGCTTTTTTCTATTTCAGGACATATAGTTGACTGTGCATTTACTGTTGCATTTAATCCCATGTTTCATCCGTTACTTGAAGCCTCTAGGGAAGCCACAAACACTGGGATCAGGGTATGTACTATACTGCATCTATTGTTCTTTTAGATTTCATTTATTAATTAAAAACTAATAGAGATGGGAGATGCTATAAGTTCATTTTGTTATCATTTTAATACACTCATCTTTATAGATTTCTTACATTGCTATCCTCCCTACTGTATGTGATATGGCTGAAACAACCGTGCAAACTTTTAACTTTCTTTTAAGGGGAAAAAAAAACATCATTTGGGTATTTTTGACCTCGATATATTTCAGATTATATGGTTTCTGTGCAGATAGGCATATTGATTTGTTATCCGCACTATGCCTCATTCGCTTAACTTTTGACTTGCAGGAAGTGTAAGTTAAGTTCTTTGAACCGGCAATAAGATGCTTATTGCTAAGGTTACCATTTCATTGATTAAAATAAAGTTTTGTTGAGTTAGAAAACCAAAGAAATCCTAATTTTTCGGTTGTTATTTGTGAGTTTTGTGTTTTCATATTAATTTGTATTAAATTTTACTAATGTAAATTATAAATATTATGTTTAATCTAGTTTACTGAATTGATCTTTGGCTTCTTAATTACAGTGATACGGTGTTTTCTGTTTTTAGCGATGCTTGTACCCTTAGGCAGTAATTACTTTTAAGTTTTGGCTAGTTAATGGCATGGAATTGCTTCATGAAAGAAAATTATTAATTTGACAATTTTTATCCATTCATCTAATCTGTTTACTCCTTACCGTTTTTGTAAGCTTGATGTACAGCTGGCATAATTTTTTACTGTAGTATTTTAGGTTTCGCTCCTGGTCAGTGGAATTTTTGGGTAGGTTTCTGAACAAAGTTTAGTTGTAGTTATGTTAAAGAAAATTCTTATAAGTTTTAAGCTTCATAAATTTAATAAGCTTTGATGTTTACGATATGTGCAGGAATCTGGAATAGATGTACGACTCTCAGATGTTGGTGCTGCAATCCAAGAAGTTATGGAGTCTTACGAAGTTGAAATCAACGGGAAAGTGTTCCAAGGCATGTTGTGTAGTATTTTTGTGCAGTTATACTCTTGCATGATTAAATATAACTGATGCAAGTTCGACTTCTATTTATTGATGTGCAGAATAGACTTCAAAATTTTAGTTAGTGAATATTGACGTTTCAAGTTAAGAATTTGAAGTGCATTCCTCTATTTTTCCTTATATTTTGTTGTTCCCATGTTTATTGTAGACCCGAAATATATAATTAATTTAAATAATTAATTTTAACAATAGATGATCATTATAGTTTTGTCTAGAGTTTTCTTTTTGTTTCACTGGGTTAATATTAATATGAGTTTCGCGATGTCCTAAAATTATTGATTGTTTTTTGAAATTGAAATATATTCTTGAATAATTCTAATGATTTATGTTTTTAACATGGTAATTGATTTCTTATTTTTCAGTTAAAAGCATCAGAAATTTGAATGGCCATAGTATTGGACCTTACCAAATTCATGCTGGCAAGTCTGTTCCTATTGTAAAAGGTGGTGAGCAAACGAAGATGGAGGAGGGCGAATTTTATGCTATTGAAACTTTTGGCTCAACTGGTAGACATTTGGATTTGCTCATGAATATTTTTTGATCCTGGATTAAGCTGTATTTTAATAAATTTCAATTGATAACTTTAGATGCATGCCATTTAATTGGAAGAATTTGCTTTTTTAAATATGACAGCTGAATATCTAAACTTAATGGTAACGCATTCATACTCAACTCTATTTTGTGAGGATAGGACTGATGTGATTGGGTCATTTGGGCAGGCAAAGGATTTGTGAGAGAAGACCTTGAATGCAGCCATTACATGAAAAATTTTGACGTTGGACACATACCACTAAGGTTACCCAGAGCAAAACAACTACTTGCTACCATAAATAAGCATTTTTCAACACTGGCATTTTGCCGGCGCTACTTGGACCGCCTCGGCGAGGCAAAATATTTGATGGCACTGAAGAATTTGTGTGATGCTGGTATTGTTCAGGTATGCATATCATTCAACAAATTTTTGTTGGCCTAACAATGTTTTTGTTTTACTTCTAAGAGTATAGTTTGTTGGTTGTTGAATAAGTTCGAATGGACTTAGCTATACCTGTAGCAGCATCTTTGTAAAAAAGGAGGTTCGCCATTTCTTTCAAAATTTAATGGCGTGTCCAGCGCGGCTTAATGTTTGCAATGAAAGCCACTGATTGCGCCATTAAAGTTTGTTAAGGAGTAAAGCGCCAAAAGAGTCCTCTGACTATTTACATTGGGGCATTTTAGTCCCGAAGTTTATAAAACTGGTAAATTAGACCCGGACTGTTTAACTGTGGCCAAAATAGTCTGTTGGGGACTATTTCAACCCATATTAAAAGAATCAGGTGACTAAAGTGACACTTTTGTATACCTTATGACTAAAATGGCTTCTTGCAAAGAGTCAGGGGATTATTAAGTAATAATTCATGCCTTTTTTCAAAGCAATATTAGCCTTTTCACTGTCATGTAGATCCATCTTTTGATTATCCGTGGAGCTATCAAAGGTTCAGGTAAACAGATGCTTTGGATGGATTTTTGGCTAGCATGAAAATGTGTTGGCTTTCTTGTCTTCTTCATATCATAGTTACTAGAACTGAACTAGACTTGGGCTATGAATTTGACATGAAGATTAGGATTGCTTGAAAATTGAATTAGTAATAGGCTTGGATTGATCTTGGACCAAAATTGTTGAGCCAAACTCAGCCTGGTTCATGCTTAAATCGAACTATTTATTGATCAAATCAAGGCTGCTGATATATCAAAATTCATCTGTGTATATTTGTATGGACATTTTTTTTATAGATTGGACTAGTAATTCATTCTGAAGGACGGCTTACGTTGAATTTAAATTAAGCTAAATAGGCCAACGAAGATCAATCAAGCAATTCTATAACTAGGCCTAGCCCAGCTTAAGATCAGGTTGAATGGCTGTATGAATTTTAAGCTATTATGTTAAATTATTTTGAGATCAGATAATTTATGACCTTATGTGGACCTACAATCTTACCACATGGGCATTTCAGCCTGGACCCTACAACGTTCGGTTTTAAATTGGGCACCTGCATGCGGCCTAATAAAATCATGATGACACAACTTTTTATTTTTTTCAACAGCTGTCATGATTATTTCTAGGTGATACCATGTTCGTGACGGGAATTGTGGGAGCAGAGTGTTTTGCTTTTCTAGATGGGTGTATGTAGCATACATTGTGCTTGAATGATTTTTCTAAACAAGATTGCTGTTTTATAATTATTTTATAATGAAGAAAACTTATTTGATCCAAAATTAACTTGGAGAATTATTAGGTTTCTCTTTATGTCCTTAACTGTTAATTAGGCCAAGTTTCACATGTCTGTCTTAAAAAGTTGAAGGGAGTGTTGCAGAGGCTTGAAGAGGCATGGAGAGTATTGTTTCAAGGTTATAGAGAACATCATCGTTGTGTTTATCTCATTTTTTTAGGGTATATTTTAGGATTCCTCCGTTTCTTAAGATGAATACAACATAGAATATTTCTCCCTTCAGGCCAAAGGAGTTTTCTCTACTCGCAGCTGCTTTTGTCAGCTTGCTCACAACTATTTAACTTGAAACTTCTCTATAGCAAAAAGAGAGAACCTCTAAACATATCTTGGAGCGTGAATTTATACCTCTCTTTTGAGCTAAAACCTTTCATATCCTCTTCAAAATAGCTGAATTTATACATCTCTTTTGATCTAAAGCCTTTCATATCTTCTTCAAAATAGCTTGCAGGTTGTTTTATAAAATGGCTTAAATAAACCTTCAGACTTGAGACACCAAAAAACTAATGCTGATGGAAACAAAACCCTAAAGAAATGCTATATAATAGCGCAAGAAAAACGGTTTGCCACTTTGTAACTGATTAAACTCTTTTGCTGGTGCACACTTTTGGCAGCCATACCCTCCCTTGTGTGATGTGAAGGGAAGCTATGTGGCCCAGTTCGAGCACACCATATTGCTCCGACCTACCTGTAAAGAGGTCATATCCAGAGGAGAAGACTATTGATGGTGTAGATATTCGCTTGAGCTGTTATACTGCTTAATTTCTTCAACCATTCTGGTGTTGTATTTTATGGGTGCATTTTCTTATATGTTACTACTGAGTAATATGTTGAAACGTGGGATCAGACCCCTTATTGTGCTTGGATTAAAGTGTGCTTTATTATAGCGCATTAGTATTTGAATTTCTCATTAAATTTGCAAATAACCTTAATGGTGTACTGATTTCATGGCATTTTCAACCTGAATTTTTAACGTTTTTATTTCCTAGATGGATGAATCTGTGTAGCAGTAATTGATCGTATGTTGGGTTGTTCCAAGTGTCCTTTTTTTGGGCCTTTTCCTGTCTCTGTGAGTCAATTGCTCGGTTTTATCAGGCTCCACTTTTTTATACTGAGATGGGGAAGTTGGAGATTTTGATTATTTTGGTCTAGTTTTGGACTCTTTTAATGCCAATGCTCAATTCCGATTCAATGGAAAATATAAAAACGGATCTTGATAAAATTGAAATATTTTATCAATTTTTTATTAGGCCATGAGGCCAATTGATCTTAGTAGTTTGTTTGCCTGAATTTGGAATTCATGTTATATCACCATGCACCGCAAATAATTAGGTGAATGATATCTTAAAAACATAAAATCTTATTGTTAGAAGTTATCAATATTGATTTATTTTTTTTCTGATTATTTTTTATTTTATGTATTTTCTATTTTATAAACCTTTCTTTTTATTTTTGGGTAGTTATCATAAATTGATTAATTGTAATCTTGGGGATATGAGTGTTATATTTTTTCTTTTTTAGAATTCATGTTATTTATATTTATACCCTCTTTTGTATCAATAAAATTATTCCGCTTAATTATCAAGACTTATATGGTATCAGAGCCTTGAAAAAGAGTCTCCGGGGAAGGAGAAGAATATCTCCTACCCCAGAAACTTCATATTCCCTACAATTGACAGTTTTTTCTTGCAAGCTCTAGTGCTCGAAACTCTTTATACAGGAGCTAATTGCCAAAACTCTCTCTGTAGGGCCCTAGCCGTTGGAACTCCTTCCCATGCAGTTTTTGGTTGTCAGAACTACTCTATCTGCAAGCCTTAGTTGTTGGAACTCTTTCCTCCAAGAGCTACTTGTAGAAACTTCTGCCCCTGCAGTCCACTAGCCGTTAGAACTCTCTCCCTGCTGGGCCCAGTCGCTGGAACTCCTGTCCTTGTGGGTCCTAGCCCTCGAAACTCGATGTAGGAACTAGCCACATAAACTCTCTCCCTATATGTCTCTACTATCGGATATCCTTTCTGACTGTTTGAAAACTTCCCTGCAGGGTTTTTTGCGTGCAGGCCCTCAATCACCTCAGATGCAGCAAGATAACACGGTTTAATTTTCACCATGAAACTCAACGAATCAGTTGCGAAGCCCTTTCGAGGGCAAGAAAAGCATTGGAGACATCCAGTTATTTGATTGACCAAAATTTCTTAAGGGCTATAGATAATAGTGCTCAAATGATAGGCATGGTGGAACTCGAACTAAATGTTTCTGCATAGTTGATACTATACTTTTGTGTGTTTCCTTAGGTTACCAACTTGACCTTGTATCGGACAATGGTTCCATTGGATTGAAAATTTATTTTAAAATTCTATTTGTAAACTAGAATTGGATGATGTGATGATGATGTGAATAACTTCCATTTATCTTATTATTGAAGAGCCATAAACTTATTAGACAACTTTTCTCGAATTGTAATCTTTGTACTTGTGTATATGTTGTAGGTGGTGAAGGTTCATTGGTGGTGTTCAAGTTGTAGCTGATTTTGGGTTTGAGGCTGTCAGTTTTGATCTTATTGTCTTGGGTTGGGAAATGTGAGGTAGATGAAATGATCAGAGTTGTTGTGGTTGTCTGGTTATAGGTGGTGCTAGATGATAAAATGTTAGATTGAAGTTGAGTGATGTTGTAGGATGTGGCGTGGAGGGTTGTTGAGAAGAGGTATCAAAAGATGAGGGTACAGGGAGTAATAAGGGCATGTCTTTATGTGGACTAGGTTTACTGGAAGGTGGGTAAGATGCATACGGGAAGTGGATTTCATTAAACACCACACGTCTTGAGATGATTGGTTTGTTGGCGAAAGTATCCAGGCACATGTGGCCTTTATGACTTGAATTTGTGTGTAGCACTAGGGTCGTATCATGTTTTTAGCATCGTTGCCTAGGATCGAATCCAGGTCACTAGCGTTACAGGCGGGTATACTCACCACTATACTACAACGACCTTAGTGCTACACATTAATTCAAGTGAAGTCCCCGATAACGACGTAAAAAACTTGACCCGATCTGCAATTACACAGTAATTTAGCTTCCAAAAGATGGTTTAAAACTTGACCTAATTTATATTTAGCGGCTAGTGTGCAAATTGAAATGTTATAAAATTTAGAAAATAATTTACACACTAAAGGTATTACACAAGTATACGTATCGTTTCAAGTATTATAGAGTTTTCTTTAAAGACCTCAGTATCGATCCCAAAGAGAAGTGATGTAAGAAATCCCTTAAGCTAATTCTAGTTTACTACTATCAGACCTTAGTTTGAAATGTCAATTAAAGTGGCTTTTCTAATAACTATTCCTAAATAAAATTCTTAAATATAAAGATAACTTATCTGGATAAATTGGTTTGGAGAATTTTGAGATGTTAAAAACTACAATTCTTATGCAATTACCTAGATAATGTGTAGGAATGAAATGCTTAGAATTTAATGTAGCTAGTGACAAATGGGAGGATACATATTCTTCATCCCCTCTCGGTGCTAGCAAAAAATATTGGCTAACCTTAAGTTTGTTCCAACTTGTGTAGTAGTGCTGAGTAGATTCTAGCCTCATACTTCTAGATTACTCACTGTGCTCTCTCTATAGGACCTGCTAGGGACCTGTAGATCCAAACTCAAAATAAAATTAACAAAAGAATCTAGCCTGTCACCCTAGAAACATCAATTATAAGCACATCAAGACTTATTTCCCTATCTATTTGCACTTCCCCTCATACGATCTCAATGGCTCTTTCCAACGTCAAGTGTGATACTCACTAGTTGGTGAAATTATACTCCTACTTGGTCATTATGTTTCACGACAGATTTAAACATCACAAATGACCAATTGCAAAGTGAATTAAGAGCCGGTGAAAATATCATCACATTAATGAAATAAGAGAATATCTAAGCAAATCTAAATTCCTAAACATGCACCTAGTTCATTGCAAAAGAAAAGTAAAATGAAAATAATGACATAAGCAGTAGAAAAATTGATTGAATTAAGTAATAAATTATGTGCCAACAAGGAACATATGTCTACTTACTATCTTTTGAGTGTATATGTATGCTTAATATTTTATTAGTTTTATGCAACTATCTGCCACCTAAAGACATCTAATAGAAACATATCATTCAAATTTTTTTTTTCTTAAAAGTTGCATTGCCACTTAAACTATTTTTCTAGCAAATCAGTCAATGTAAGTGCACTCAAATTGTAAGGTTAATGCTCTCCCAAGTCTTAATTTCACTTGCAACAAATTTTATCATAATTTATTGCCGCTTAAGTTATGTTAATGAAGCAAATGAAATATTACTCATCTTATGAAAATAAAATAATTCTATCATAAAACAAATTTTCCTATATATGCCACTACTTCATATTAAAAGAAAAGAATAAAGAAAGCTACTTATGAAACATGGATAAAACACAACAGAATACTTCATTTAAATCAAAGAAAATTCACTAGAAAGTGTTTACAACAATTACAAGATAATGAAAAACAGATTACTTAGTTTTTTCTCTCTCAAAGAAAGGTGAATAATCTCTCCAACAAAGTCTTCTGCCGATTCATGCGCCACTCATACTTTCTTACTCATCTTTTAAAATCTCTCACCACTCTCTCCAGAAAATGGAGAAATCTACATCTCCACCAACTCACACCAAACTCTCTCTAAAATCCATCTAAAAACTCCTCCTAATTGCTTCCTAATTACTTGTCATGAGAGGCGCCAAGCCTCTCTTTTTAAAGAGACAAAACACCTCTTTTTTTAAGAGACACCTCTTCACTCTAAGAGACACCTCTTCACTCTAAGAGACACATCTCTTCATCCAAAATTCTTTCCATGTGTCTAGATTCATTGAATCACTCAATGGGACGTGCAGGTTGTTTGGAATCTTCCATAACATCCCGGAATGACCCGAAATCGCCCAAAAGCCATCCAAAAACTGTCTCGGGCGCTATGGTGCCAGAACAACGCTATAACACCTGTTTCTAGTTATGACTGGCGCTATAGTGCCAGTTTGGGAGCTATAGCGCCACTCTGCGGGCAACACACCTATTTTGCTCCATTTGAGCTCCGTTTCACCCTGTTTCAGCTTCGGTTCATTCCAAGTGTTATACCTGCAAAATAAACAGGAAAATAACATTTCTTTAAAGTGCAATTTCATTCAAAAATAAGAGATAAATATAATGGATATTAAACATAGAAAGATATTTCAAAATGCGCTAGATCAGAATTTTCTTTCTTGATCGATTTAACTCCAAATTGCACCGTTTTTGTTTTATTCCTAAAAAAAATCATGTATTGTACTTGAAGCGAAAACATAAAATATGCATTCCTTTAAAGTGTACTATCATTAAAAATGATTAAAAATAAGCATGAAATGTTTATTTTAAACAAATAATTTTAAGGCGGATCATTGCCAACAATCGCCCTAAATCATGGAGCGGCCAAGACGTCACGAACACTAAGTTTCCCGCAGCGCACATAGAAGAACTCCATGACTTCCCTTGACCATGTGACTTCTAAACTTGAGAATGGGCACCAAATATGTCTCGTATTCTGAATGAGCCCCTTCTATGGCGGGTTCTTTCGGGTAACACTAAATCACCGTCAACCCTAGCTTCGTACTCCAAACTAGTTAGAGAGTTTTGGATGGGTGTCTTAAGCTACGGGATGCTACAGACGAACCATAAACTTTGTAGGTAGACACTATATACTCGTGACATCAAAAAGTGATTCTAACAATGGATAATCCTCGTGTTATGGGTCAACATGATCAGATTGAAGTTCCTCGAAACATAACTTCCACGAAGAGAACCTCTACATAAGCCACCCATAACCAGAGAACCAAAAAGAACTTTTTTATTATGGTGTCAAGAGTCTCCCATAGCAATATAACTCTCTGGTTTATTACATCCTAGGGGATACTTAAGAGTACTTTTTATAAAAGAAGTTTCACTTATAATATCATGAACCTAGAGAATAGGCCATCGAATGATGATTATTTCGTATGAGAAACATCGAAACGTTTTTGCCTGACCCACAACTTAGATAACAGGGATGCCAATCGACGTCGTTTATCATCTCTTGAATGTCAATCCGGATAAATGAACAATCACTAGTTTGAAAGTTTTTAGATCAGTGTCGCTTGCCATCATATATAAATCAAGTAAGTTCTTAGATCCAAAAAGATAAAAACAATGTTAAGGGAAGTTACAAAGATTGGAAGTTCACATAAGTTTAGTTAGATTTCTGACAAATATTTTAATTATTTAGGGGTACTTAAATTCTCAAAATAACTTTGAGTTTTTTTTTTAAATAATGAAAAAACAGAGAATATTTAGCCAATTAAAACTCCCATGAGTCAGACTTACCTAAACAATCCGTTAAAAAAGGGGGTATTTACATACATATGACTCAATTCTTATGAATTTAAGTATCTCACACCAAAACTTTATAACACCTAATTCTTTCATAACACAAAAAAATAACATTAAAATTCTTTTATAACACAATAAAATAAAATTAATTATATTTTTTTAAGGATCAAATTCATTTTTTTATACATAATAAAAATCTTGTATTCCGTACATATGAAATTTAGGATTAGAACCACCTTTATTTAGCTAGCCTACTCGTATAGATCACCACGGCGGCAAACTAACCTGCTAACCTACTAACCAAGTTTGTTTGGTTCATTGGAATGTACACCAGACGAGTGCCCTTCCCTGATAAGAAAAATATAGGGGGTGTTTGATAGGACACTTTTAAGAAGGTTTAGGTTATATTTAACTTAAATCCAACCAATATAATAAATAGCTTAGATAAATTATTCGTTAAATTAAATTAAATTTTTACTTCTTTCATTTATTAAATCAGGATTAACTAAATCCATTTATAATTGGATTTAACGGCAAAAGAATTTAACTGAATTTAAATTTAATTAAACAAAACTTCATTTTAGATTTAGTAATATTTAGATTTAATAATTTTAAATTTATGGGATTTAATGAAGGCAAACTTAAATCTTTACTTTACTTGCAGCCAAACACCCCGATAAAATAGAGCCGGAGCGGTAGTGGAGAACAACTGAAGAGAAGAGAGGCAATACTCATCACAATCCCCAATTCTGAAATTCGAGAAAGATTGTAGTCGTTAAAACCCGCCAGCCCTAGGTCGAAAGCCTGCCCATTTCAGAAAAAGCAGTTTTTGGTTGGTGCTTTGCACCATAATTCGGGAGCTGGGCTAGGAAATTTAGCGCTTTCTGTCGAATCCGTTCAAACTTACCAATATCCTGATGGCTCGTCAAGGGATCATGTCTGTTACCGTTTTCCATGGCGATGTTTGCCTCGGTGAAGCTGAAGTATTACCCAGTACGAAGAGTCCCAGCTTCCAGTTTCCTAAGAATGAGATACGCATCACCCAAATTTCTCCTCCAAGCGAGCGGTGCCCTCCCCTATCCGTTTTGCAAACAATTTCCCCATTCTCCGTACGGTGCAAGATTCAGGCGAAATCAGCCGCCAACGATTCCCCAATCTCGCGGTTCTACCTATCCTGCCTCCAAGAATTCAAGGTCTGTCCTCTTCCACCCCTTTTCCCTTTTCCCTCATGATTGCTGGCGTACCAGCTGACATCCTACTCCTTAATACACTCAGACCGCATTTATGGTTATTGGAGATGAAGAGCTGCATTTAGTTGCAATGCTGAGCAAGGGCGAGAAGTTCCCTTGTTTCTGGTGCTGTTCAGTCCGGGCTGGCCTGTACAACTCCTGCTTGGGGATGCTCAATCTGCGATGCCTTGCCATCGTATTTGATCTCGATGAAACGCTCATCGTCGCCAACACAATGAAGTCGTTTGAGGACCGAATTGAGGCTTTGTCCCGCAGAATTCATTCTGAGAATGATCCTCTCAAGGTTTCCGGAATGTCTGCAGAGCTCAAGCGTTACATAGAGGACAAAGAAATGTTGAAGCAGTATGCCGAGAGTGATACCGTTTTAGATAATGGGAAGTTGATCGGTGTGCAGAATGAGCAGGTTCCTTTACTGCACGGCGGTCTGGAGCCCATTAAACGGCCTGTCATAAGGCTGCCAGAAAGGAATATTGTGTTGACTCGAGTCAATCCTGAGGTCAGTTTCAATTTATTCGGTTTTCTCCTCTTCTTCAGATTGTTATGCCATATCTTTTTTCATTACCTTGTTATTGTTGCGTTTCATTTCCTTTATTTTAGCAGAGTGGATGCGTTTGTAAATTCAGTTCCATGCGCAAACTTCTGTAAAAGACTTATCTCCAATGTATTCTAGCATATTCTTGAATTTAGGCTATGTTAAATTGACTAATTAGGTCTCTGGACTGATTTCAGTTAAGGATTGAGTTAATATATATATTATATATATATATATTGTTATTGGATTTCTTCAAGGTCATTTCATATCCTCTCAAGGATGGTTTTTAACACTTACTTTCGTGATTTGATCATAGCCTTGCATGGTATCTCATGATCTGTTCGAAAGAAACAGAGAAAGACGTCTGAATAATCTATGCATGCAGTGTTAGTATTGAGAAATCATTTAATTGGTACAAGAGCACTTTTTCTTTTACTTAGGAAAGTGCTCACAAACTCTTTTTTTTTTAATTTACCTATATGAGCTATAGTTTGCCATTCAAAGACTTTGGCAGTTGATGACTATGAAGTTATAACTTGAGTTTAATAATGCTGAACCTAAAATAATAGAGGAAAAATAATTATGGTGCTTCAACTACATTTGATGGATCACCTCTCTAAATAGGAAGTTGATCTAATCAAAATGTGGCTACAAACTGCTAAATCATGGATTTGTAATGGTGATACCTCTAGTTCATGGAAGCCTTCAAACTCTTAAAACTATACTTTTCAAAGTCTTAGGAGCCAACGTATTAGTTATCCGTAAGGTTTTGAAAATTAGATCATATCTTGAACTGGATGAAGCAAATGTTTAAGCCTTAAAAATTCAACTGGAATTTAACTAGGGTTGAACCGTGATGTTGTAATAAATATTTAAATTATATAATTATTACTTAAAAGTAATAATGAATCAAATATATGATAATAGATAAAAAGAATTATTTAATAAATTATAAAATATAGTATAATTTTAAATCCAAACAAGCTCTATTTTTAAATGGCTAGGCATTTTTGTGGCTATAATCGAAATTTAGATAATCCATTTTACTCTTATATTTTCTTCCACCATAAAAATATATGCTGCAAAATTACTTTAAGAATGAAGAAATTCAAGCTGAAATAATTAAGGCCTTGACAGCCAATTGCTCAAATGCATTGCAAGCTATTTTATATATTTTTGTTATTTTTTAGATTTATTTTATATTATTTACATTAACTTTAATATTCAGTTATATAATAAGAAAGAAATTGTGATACCAAACATAATATTTAATATAAAATGAACTGAGTGTTTAATCAATTCGTGGATGGTTCCCCAGTTTAGTGGTCTATTTTTGGGTTCACATTTGCTTGATAGGAAAACAAATGAGTTGAATTAATATATCTGCCAGTTAATCCTAAAATGCAGCATGATCTACTGTGGATTTTGGAAATTTTGTTATAAACTTCATTGTAATGTTTTCTTGTTCTAATCTAGAATAAATAATGATTGCAATAGTTCACTTTGTTTTTAAAGTTTTAAACTTCACAAATTGACAAACCTCGTGCTTAGATGTAACGTGCTGCATCCTTTTTCATTCTTGGTTACCAATATAAAATTTTCTAATGTTCATGCATCTTAATGTGCCTTGGTTGAATGTTACATTTGGAGTGACAAGCTTCATACCTGTGATTAGAATTACTAGTTATCCATTGATGCTACTTATTTCTAACAACCCCTTGATTATCAATAATATTTTCCTTCCTTTTTTTTGAGAGTTTTCAGAGTTTCTTTTATTCTGTCCATTATATACATTCAATATAGTACCCCTATGCTATCATACCTTCCAATCTCTAATTATAAAATTTTATTTCTTTAATTAGTTGAGCTTTTTTTAGCGATCATTCGACTTACAATGCTCATGAATTTTCAATTTAAAGCATCGACTGCACTTTTTTTTCTTATAAGATAATACCTTATATCCAGATCATAATCTTTTAATGAACTCACTCCATCTTCTTTGCTTGAAGTTTGACACTTTTTCATATTTCTCCCATTCTGCGATAAAGCACCTTCAATCCTTTCAATGATGCATTAAGAAAATTTTCTTTTTTATGATTGAATAGTTAATATGGTTGGGGCCAGTTGTCTATTCAATTCTTAAGAATTATTCTCTTATTATTTTGATCATTCAAATTTAATACATTTTCTCCTTAGCTTGGATAATAGTAGAGCTGTCTATGAGAAAATCCGGACATATTCTCAATAATAACTGGCAAAATCTATAAAATTATAAAAATTTGTAACATGCTTTGGTGTAGGAGATTTTATTGTTGCTTTCACCTTCAAAAGATTTACTACGACCCCTTCATAATTTATCATGCATCCAAAAATTACAATGTCTCCTAAGAAATATTCTTTTTTTAAGAGTATTAGATCTATTTGATTTTTTTCTCAACAGTTTTACTTCGATTCTCAGATGCTCAATCCAATCTTCACAACTTTGGGGTATATTAAAATATGATCAATGAATATAATCACAAACTATTGTATATATTTATTGCGTACTAGAAAATTCAACAGCAGAGTGATAATTTAATGACTTAGCGTTGCACAAAAATCAAACACACAAATATATAATAAAAAGGTAGTAGGAGACACCATGATTTTTTACGTAGAAAAATCCTAGAAAGAGAAATAATGGGGCTTAGCCCAATCAAAGTAATCTACTATATGACTGTAAGTATATAGGTCTACTATTCTCCTGAATTAGAGAAGATAAAATTATAATATTGATAATCACAGATGCACAATAGCAGTTCAACTATAATAACCATAATTGGGCTATAACATATATAATCCTTGTCTATAATGACAATAGTTGGCCACAAAGTTGTAGTTAAAAACTGTAATAGTATTTGTTATCCACATATGCCTACCATGGCAGTAGTTGTCCATAACAACTATAGTTGGTGGTTGCATGTGTTAGTTGGCCGCAAGGCCATAGTAGAAAACTATATCAATACTAGTTGGCCACAAAGGCCGTTGTTAGTTGCTACAAAAATCATAGTTGACCATAAAAGTTGTAGTCGTTGGGTGCAATAACATCAGTTGGTCACAAAGACCGTCCTTAAAAATTATAACATTAATTTTTGGCCACATAGGTTGTAATTGGTTGCTACAAAAATAATAGTTGTCCATAAAGGCTATAATCAGTGGCTATAAGAGTGGGAGTTTGCTACAAAGTTCATAGTTGGAAGCTGTTACATTAGTAGTTGGCTACAAGACCATAGTTGATTGCTATAAAGGTAGTATTTGGCCATAAATACTGTAGTCAGTGGCTACAATAACGACAGTTGACCACAAAGATCATAAATGGAAGTTGTAACAGTAGTAATCATCCACAAATGCCATAGTTGGTTATTAGAAAGACAAAAATTGGCCATGAAGCTATAATCAGAGGTCGCAATAGCAACAGTTGGCCTTAGAAGCTGTAATTGAAAGCTTTACCAGTAGTAGTTCTCCACAAAGTTTGTAGTTGGCTGCTGCAAAGACAGTAGTTGGCCATAAAGACTGTAGTCGGTGATTGCAATAACAACAATTGACCACATAGGTAGTAGTTAGAAGCTATAACAGTAATAGTCAGCCAAAAAATCTATAATTGATAATTACGATGGTACTAGTTGGTCATGAAGATTGTAATAATAGTACTTGGTTACAAAGGCCGTATTTTGATTACGACTGTTCCAATAACGATCATCGGTGGTTGGCAGGTACGAAGGCCGTTGTTTACTCGTTGGACCTTTAATTCAGGTGTTTATCACAATGACCATATTCAAACTACGACATTTGTAAGTAGGGATCGCCAGTAGCTGGTGATCGGGTGCGGTGGGTGGTAAGTGCCAGCGATGATGGACGCTTACGGAGTCCATTAGTTATTGCTTGATTTTAAATGCAACTGTTAGGCACAACATCCGTATTCAGACTACAAAGTTTGCAAATAGAGGTCACCAACAAACGGTGACGGTTGACATACGATGGTTAACTGTGGTAGGTGTCTACGAAGATCGGTGTTTATCGCTAGTTCTTCAATACGGTTGGTCATAGAGTTTGTAGTTCGAAACTGTACTAGTAGTTGACCATAATTGTAGCAGTTGGCTGTTAAAAAGATAGTAGTTGACTATAAAAACTGTAGTCGGTGGCTGCAATAGCGTTAGTTGGCCAATGAAGCCGTAATTAAAAGTTGTAATAGTAGTAGTCGGTCACAAAGACTATACTTGATTACTACAAATGTACTAGTTGGCCATGAAGACTATATAGCGATACTTGGTTACAGAAGCCATATTTTGATTATGATGGTTGCAAGCTGTGGTTGCTGGTGGTTGACAGCTATGGAGGATGGTGGTTACTCGCCTGATCTTCAATACAACTGTTAGGCACAACTGTCATATTTGGACTATGATGTTTGCAAGTAAGTGGCACCGATGGTAAGTTTTCGTTGGACTATGATTGCAAGTAAGGGACACCGATGGTAAGTGGCCGTTGGACTATGATGTTGACAGTCGACAATGGTTGATGATGACCAACTGGTAGATGTTGAGGTGCGTTGGTTGATGACTATGGATGCCGGGTTCTCAATACAAGTGTTAGGCACAACAACCGTATTTTGACTATAATTTTTTGAAATAAGGTCTCCAACGGATGGTGATTGACAGTGGTGGGAGCTAATAGTCAGCGGTAGTTGACAGTGGCTGACGGACGGTGGTTGACGGTAGTTGGCGGCTACTGAGACTGTTGGTTATCATCATATCTTCAATACATGTGTTAGGCATATCAACAATATTCAGATTACGAAGTCTGCAAATAGGTCGCCAACGATTGGTCGGGGACAGCGGACGATGAGGGCTCGACAATTATCACCATGTCTTTTCTCTAGAACATGCTATGAAAATTTTCTTTTCCTCCCTCCAAATGAAGTGTAGAGA